GGGCTCAGCGATGTCACTTCCTCCCAGGGTGTGTCCAATCTGACGCTGCTGCTGTCAGAGATGAGGCTGGCCTTCCAGAAGGACACGCCTCTTTACGCCAGGACTGTGGATCAAGCTCCGCCCCCTGCAGGAGTCAGGTGAGTACCTTACAGGCCAGGGTGCAGGTAGAACCTAGCCGGTTTTGATCGGGTTTTATCAAGTGGTGTAAAGGTATCGTTACCAGGTCCAGGTTCTGATAGTGGTTCTTACTAGCCTGTTCCCTTTAGATGTGGTTCTTGAGGTTCTGGTGGAAGTTCTGGTGGTTCTTGTCATCTTAATGCTCTTATTCAGGATTCTGAGTCTGAGGTCAGAGGTCTTGGTTGGGGACAGTCCTGGTGATGCATCCCCATGGTGACGGCACAGGTTCTGATCTGGGTTTGTCTCCTCTTGCTGTAGCTCCTCCTCTTCCTCCGAGAGCCCCGCCCAGGGCCCGCTCAGGGCCCCACCCAGAGCCCCGCTCAGGGCCCCGCCCAGAGCCCCGCTCAGGGCCCCGCCCAGGGCCCCGCTCAGGGCCCCGCCCACCTGTCTGAAGGTAAGCCACTCCTCTTGGGACGGTGTTGCCCACCCTAGCCCTAACCCAGCAGGAGGTCTACCCCATAGGGGCGCCACCTGCAGTGTGCAAACATAGAATGGGTGTGATTGCTTTCAGAGGTCTTTCGAGTTACCATGGTGACGTAATTGGCCAATAGCGGTTTGTCATGTGACAGAAACTGGTATTTCTCTCACATGAGTGCTGCAACAGAAGCCCCTCCCCTTCTGTTGCAGCCAGCCAATGGGAGCAGGACAGCGTCAGGACATCTTACACTGAGGAGCTGAAAGGGATCGACTTCGGGGCTCCACCCTCCTCTGGCGGCGCCAACACCCTCCTGAGCCCCTCCCCTCCAGGTGAGATGGGAGTTATAAACCCCACCCCTTAAAGAAACGGCGTCCCTTTTAAGTAGCGTTGGTTCTGTTCAGGACGGGCTGCAGCTAAGATTCTGAACTCATACCTCAGGTTCTGTAGCGGATCCGGTCCGCCCTGCAGGTGCGCCCCCACAGTGCCCCTCAGCAGAATGATGGGAGCTTTGAGGCTGGATGGAGGCAGGCGGTCAGAACAGAACCAACGTGGTTCTGGAGATCAGAGTCCAGCAGCCGAAGTCGACCTGAGGAAGGTGAGGCCGGGTTTTACCTCAGCAGTGGTTCCTTGGGGACTCGGCTTGGGGCGGGGGCCTTTCTGGGGTGTGGCGATTGATCGCCCCTCCATGGGCCTGCTGTTGACAACTTTGCAACTTTGGTACTAAATTTAGTACAGAAACAAATCAGTAATGGCTAAAATCAGTCAGGCTTTATAATATTGGTGATTTGCCAGAAAATTGAAATCACTGCACCACTACTTTAGTTCAATGACAGCATCAGTCTGTAAGCAACTGAGTTATGACCATTAATACAAACAGAGTCTACCTCAGGGGACCGGCGTCCATGTTTTAGTCTCTCCCTGGTTTAACGTACCTGGATCCAGTGATGGCTCGTCATCGTTAGGCCTCCAGCGATGAAGAAGTTGTTGGTACCAGAGAGAGAATAAACCTGCAGGATGCCGCCTTCCAAGACTCATTAACCCTAACATGGCTGCTCTAACACCATGTTCCAAATTATTATGCAAATTGGATTCAAGTGTCATAAAGATTTCATTTTTATATGTAAAAAAGTATATCCAAGGATGTTTTTGTGTCTCAGGGCTCTTGAATCACTATAATTAATTTCACAGATCTGGGTTTATTAGTTTGTGAGGTGAGATCAATTAAAGGAAATCTACTTAAAACTCTGCTGGTGTCCGTTATGACGCTTTTATTGGCAGCCTAGAGCCCCGCCCCTTTTGATTGATGCTGCATTCCACCAATAATGTTATGACAAGGCTTTTTCCAAGCCAATAATATGCAGAGAGCGACTTGAGGCTCGTTTTCACATGCTCTATTCTTACTGGAATGTTTCTGACTGGTCAGTCGGAACCCGGTCATTAAATCTACCTTTATCTATTGCATCTATTGCTCGCTAAGTACACCAGTTATGTATTTCCTTACCAATCTCAGGCTCAAACATCCAGACAGAGGGGCTCCGTCCCTCTGATGGCCAAGCGGGTCTTGCTGGGCGATGATGAGATTCTGCTGTTTCTACAGAAGATTCCTCCAGAGGAACTGCTGCCATCGAAAGGAAACTTGATACATTTAAAAAAAAACGCTTTGCAGCTGTTTGCGACTGTTTTACTGTGGACTTCGTGTTCATCGTCGGACCTGACTCCATTCAAGTGACTGAACATTTTGGTTTAGCTGTTGACTTTGTTGTTGGCGCTTTTGAAAGCTTGTTATGACTAGCGCTAGCCAGTGCTAACTGAGCTAGCAGTTAGGGTTGGAGCACACTCAGTTCAATGTGTTAGCTGCTTGACAGCGCTCAAAGTAGACAAGCCGCCATGTTGGCTGTGATCTGCTGACCACAGGTGGGTTCTGGTTCTGATCATCAGGTCCCAGGTTAGGATTGCCCTCTAGGTGGAGGGAGTTTCTGGAAGTATTACACAACCCCTACCTGGGTGGTTCTGACCCAGAACTGGGTCACCTGGTGGGAACCTGGACAGTCCTGCCTCTGGGTCCGTCCAGGTGTTCATCTGGACGGACCCAGCTCATCTCAGCTGATGTGTCTCCCAGGTGTCGGCTCACCTGTCTCCAGACCGGGCCGCCGTCTTCATGGCTCTGATCACCATGACTGGGCGGAGCTTCAGCACTGATGATGTCATAGAGGCAGTTCAGCATAATCCAGATCTCCCTTCAGCGTTGAAGTTCCTGACACACACCTGTCCAATCTGTCGTGACCAGGTGACCTTCAGCAAGGTGACTGTCTCAGCCAGCCAATCAAAGGACAGACACCGCTCTGCTTCCTGTTAGCTCTTCATCTCTGCTTGTTTTCTGCAGATCATCTCCATGACCCATTGCTCCTGCTTCTTGTGTCAGAGCTGCTTCACTTCCTGTTTCTCCGTTGCCATCAAGGAGCGCGCCGTTCACCAGCTCACCTGTCCGCAGTGCGGCCAACCAGAGATCAGGAGCCAGGGGGCGCTAGAGGAGTCCATGGACTACTTTAATCTCCTGGACACTCAGGTGAGTCAGTCAGGTGAGTTAGTCAGGTGAGAGAGAGCTGCTGGGAGTCCTGACCAGTGTTGTATAAAGTCTCAGAGTCCAGTAAAAGTACAGGAACCTCTGCAAAATGTGACTTTGGTAAAAAAGTCCAAGTCACTGAAATGTTACTTGAGTTAAAGTCTTTAAGTTTCTTAAATGTCTTGTACTTAAGTCTGGAAATTACTGTAACAATGGATGAACTCAAGTAATGTAATGAAAAGAAAAAGTAAAACAAGGCAAATGCAGTTTGACATTTTTTATATTTTGGCAAACTTGTTAAATACACTTAAAATAATGAACAGAACCAAGTGCAGAGAAAATGAAACCTGCTAATAGATAAACCTGCAGCATCATTTAGTTAAGAACATTAGGTGCTTTACTTAAACCACAAGGTTAACTTAACCTGCTTTAGGTTAACTTAACCTGCTTTAAGTTAACTTAACCTGCTTTAAGTTAACTTAACCTGCTTTAGATTAACTTAACCTGCTTTAGATTAACTTAACCTGCTTTAGGTTAATTTAACCTTCTTTAGGTTAACTTGACCTGCTTTAGGTTAACCTAACCTGCTTTACAACTGAACCAGCTTCTTAGTAAACCCTCCAAGACAGAAAATACAAAGTTTCTATAAGCCTCAAGTTTTCCCTTTCAGTAAGGTCAGTGCTGAAAATGAGAAAAATAAATAGTCAGTACAGAAAATGCGGCCAACATGAAGAGAAAAACCCGTTAGGATTCCTCTACTTCACACACTATAGGTACAACAACTGGTCATTATGCAAAAGAAAAAGAATTGGGAGGGAAATGCAGCTTATTGGCATCTGAAGAGGGAGAGCTTTTAGTTAACTTGGTGTTTAATGGGAGAAGTGAAACAGACCTCCGTGAAGCTGAACCCCATCTACTCAAATAATCCAGCAATTAGTCTGATTGGTTTGTGCTGTTAAAATGTTCGTTTGTGCAGCTTTGGTTTCCGAGATATTAAAAAAGATTTTTTAGGCCATCCAAAATATATACTTTTTAAGATTACAATTTCTAGGAATGTGTCATGAATTTTGTGTCAGTTGGTCACAAGGCAAGAAATCTATTTCCATTAGTTTCTCAGGAGAGTTTGGATGTAAAATTTGTTGACTCTCCCTGAGTGAAACTCCGACACCTTGAGGAAGGAGGAGACCAGAGACCGGCTGGCCGAAAATAGTGTTCATGAATCGGATCAACCTCGAGTTAGGCGCCGTCACACTGGATATTGGAACAGCCAAAATCCAAATTGAAAACAACTTTGCTGCGTTTGTTTTAATGGCACAAACGGAGCACTAACGAACCAGCCCACTTTGGTTTGTTTTGGAGCAAACTGCGGGGATGGTAACTCTGGATGGCCTAAAAAATCATTTTAATATCTCGGAAACCAAAGCTGCACAAACGAACATTTTAACGGCACAAACCTACACAAACGGAGCACTGACCAATCAGACTGTGAAACCTGTGCATCCTATTGGTGGAGATGAACAAGCCCAGGCTAACAGGCTTTGTTGCAGTCGGTCAGTAGGTTGATCAAAACATTTGCGTTTCTCTCTCGATTTTTTGTAACGAGTAACTAAACCACACATTGAAAATGTATCGGAGTAAAAGTATAAAATTAAGTTCGGAAATGTAGTGAAGTTAAAGTGAAAGTTATCAAAAATGTTCATACTCGAGGAAAGTATGAAGTACTCCAAAATATACTTAAGTAAAGTAGTGAAGTATTCTTACTTCGTTACAATTCAACACTGGTCCTGACATGTGTTGTGCTTCCAGATTCGCTTCTTGCCTCCCGACATCCATGAACTCTTCCAGAGGAAACTCCGGGACCGAGCCCTGCAGGAGATGCCCCGGTTCTGCTGGTGCGCTCACGTAAGAACCTCACTGGGCCCGGTTCTGATGAGACCATTAGGGTCGGAACCTTGGCAGGTCGTTGTTTCAATGTTGCTTTGGGGCGCTCCATGAGTTGAACCGGTTCTGGGTCCGGTTCTGATCCAATCCAGGATCCATCAAGGTGTTTGTTTTTACATTTCATCCCTGATAACTGCTCCTGATATGATGCGGAGCTTGAAGGTGATAACTGCAGTTTGAGTCAGAATTAGAGATGCACCGGCCCATCTCTAAATATCTGCACCCATCCTGATACTGACAAATATTTTAGATCAGATGTTGGTGAAAATGTTCCCTATCCCTAAGAGACGATCTATTCAGACTAATTCTATGCTTCGTGCTCTGAGCAAATGTACGCATTACCACAAAATAAAAAACGCCTTCAGATAATATTTCTGTATTGATGTTTAGGCCTGTCACGCTAAACAATAAATCAATTAATCCCACGCTAAATAAAAACTATTGACCTCATTTTAATTTATCTGCTTTATCGCTTCTTCCTGCCTTTTTCTCTTTCTATTGATGACACTGGATGAAAAACGGCTCAGCTCTCGTTCTCTCCACTGACCCCTCTTCCTCATTTTTAGCGTAAGGGAGAAGTGAGCTATATCAGTGGTCCCCAACCCCGGGCTGCGGCCCGGTACCGGTCCGTGGACCAATTGGTAAAGGGCCGCACAAGAAATAATGAAATATTTCCGTTTTATGTATTATGTGAGTCTGGAGGGTCTTTTATTTTGAAAATCCTTCAACAGATTCTCTCGGTGGCGTTTTGGCGCCAACATTGATCCACAAGCAGCAAAATGAACAGAACCAGATCAGATTCTTTGGAAAGTTTGTCTGCAGGCCCAGAGAGGCAGGAGGATGGGTTTGTCCCGGTGGGTTGATTCCCACAGTCCAAGCTGCTCTGGATGGTCAGGTGACCTGATGAGCCAATGAAGCTTCAGACTGCATCACCATGGAGACCCAGTGTCTCCCTGAGCATCACTTCAGCGTCTCCAGCAGGAGAAACAGCTCAGGGTCCATCAGTCGATATCCTGAGTTAAATGTTTAGAAAAGGAAAATGTTGGTTTTGTGGCCCATCTGCATCTTATTTTGAAGGGATATGTAACCGTTACCATGGTGACCAGAGTCAGACAGCGTGAGGTCAGAGGTCGAGATGAGAGGAGATGTGAGTTCTAGGTTTGGTTCACGGTTTAAGGATCGTTGGCCGATTTCCCAAACCTCTGTGACCTCAGAGGCGATAAAAGTCCAACAGGTTCGGTCGGTTTGAGAGTCCAGGAGCAACACGGAACCAGAACCGGTTCCTCTGAACGTCCCGGTTCCTCTGAACGTCCCGGTTCCAGAAGAAGATCCAGTAAAACCCCAACATCCCACAGAATAATCAACATGATGTAGAAGCAATAGTGACAGTTTGTGGATCATAAAAGACAGTGGGAGCAGCCGCTCTATTCTCCCTTCACCCCAAGCCACAGTAAAATTGCCGAGCCTTGACCAGTCCGTGGTGGTAGAAGGGTTGGGGACCACTGAGCTATAGCGTCAGGTAGTCAGGATGCACATCATTTCATACTTCTGCAGCTTGAGAGCCCCTTGAGGACTTAGAAAGCTACAGATATAGTATCTGATATTGGGGAAAAAACTTGAAATGGGACTGGTTCACAGCCGAACGCAACTGCAGCAGTGAGGGAGTATTTCAGATTCAAACCAAATGACTGAGAAGAACCGCTGATCCTTTGCGAGCTGGTATGTCACATTATCATAAAACAGTAGCAACTAAGAGCAGCAGTACAGCCAAATTGCACCTAAAGCACGACCGTCCAAAGACGTTTCCCAGCTGGGGAATAAAGTACAATTGGTGGGCTGTCCCAGTCTTCAAATTCGCAACAGTCCACCATCATTGAAGCAATTAATCGACAAGCAGTGAACAAAACGGACGACAAAGTGGTGCGTGCTCACAGACACCATAGTTGGTGTAATTGGTAATGAGATGCTCCCATTTAATATTCCAAAAATGTTGCAAACATTTGACAGACAATCCAAAATCCCTGGGAAAAATATAGAAGTATCACAAACAGAGATTCCACAACTGTCCAACAGTATTAAAGAGGACATACTTAAGGAAATAAAAGACATTATTATGTGGTAAGTTCAAATATGACCCCTTATCTGATCTTGACCATTCACTATGTAGCTGCTGACTGGACATTTAGAGTCTCTAAACTCTAAATGTTTAGAGACCAGATATGTCCCAGATAACCATACTGCTGACGCCCTTGAAGAAAACCTGAAATCTGCTGTAGCAGATTGGGGACTGGATGAGCACAAACTGGGTTGCATCCCAACAGACAATGGTGCTAATATGGTTGCTGCAATAAGAAATCTTGGCTGGCCAGGGCTCAGCTGCTTTGGCCTCCACCTCCACCTTGCTGATGTTGTCAACCGATGGGGCACTAAGCAGAAGAAGGTGTTGGAGCAACTCCCAGCTGGAAGACGAGTCCTGGTTCAAGACAGAAAACATGGCCATCTCAACCCAACCTGGCACGATGTTTTGGTGTTGGAGTCCATCAACGCAGCAATGAAACCACTGCCTGACTGAGGTCAGATGTCCTCTCAGGGGAAACGCACGTCTGATAAGCCTGTGCTGGACCTGATTAAAGGCGACCTTCTCTCTCAAGGCCATGACAACAGCACACTGACTGCCAGAATTACACAAAACACATCCAAGATACTGACTGAAAACTACAGCTCACCTGCCATCCAAGACCACCATCTTGGATCTGAGGTACCATGGCAGCACGGACAAGGCAGGGGCATTGAATGGCATCAATCAGCTGGTGCAAGAGCAAACTGGACTTAGAACTGTCAGAAGTAAGTGAAGAAGGTGAGGGCTGCAGCAAAGCTGCTAGAGGAAACAAAGGTGACTCTACCGCTGCCCCCCACCCCCTGCAAGAAGAAGAGTCTAAGTTACCTTCTCCAAAACAGAAGAGCTCAACCAACAGGTCAGACCAAGGCTACATATCCACAAAGAGAGCAGGCTGAAGATGCTGTTGGTGTCTCTTGAGACGTGGTGGCATGACAGCCATAGGAGATATCCTTTGATGGCAAACTTGGCTCCAAAATACATGTGTATTTGTGCAACAAGCACCAGTTCAGAGGGAATGTTTAACACAGCTGGAAACATTGGTCCTCCTGAGAGATCCTGCCTTGAGCCACACAAACTCAACATGTTGGAATCTGTCTGACTAAAGTAGCTACAGATCTGCTATAGACTGTTGAGGCCAATGGTCTTATTTAGTGTGCTTTTGTCATTTTGCACTTTTTGTTCATAAAAATGATTTAGATTTTATAAACTGTACTCTTTTGGATGAATGTAGTTTTTATTTAAACTTTGGTTTTATGTTGTGTTCAGTTTTTATTCATATTTTTGTTAACAGAGACTGAGAGCCCATTTTAGGCTGTTTTGTTTATTTTGTTCACCAGTTCCAGTGCTAAATGTTCTTTTGAAAATAAAGCATATTTATCTTGGCAGGATGTACTTGTATTATTAAGTCATTAAAATTACATCAGATCAATATGGGCCAATACTAAACCTCACATATCTGTAGTGAAATTGAAAAAAGCTCGTGCATCAAGTTAGTCACAACAAAGTCATCTTTGACCTGCCAGTAACCCATGTGACTTTATAGCCACATGACTCCCAGCATTCAATCCCTTTTGTTCTCGTGCGAAGGTGTGCAGAGTACAGGTGTGGTTGTACAAAGCTGGTAGCTTTTGTGTTTCACCGGTTTTCTTCTTGTGCTTGCAGCCTTGTTTATGGTCAGTCTTGTCTTCCAGCACAAGGTACTTTCAGTTAGGTTAGGGTTAAGTGGTTATGTTTTGTTTTTCTTTATTCTACAGCAGTAGTTTACTGTTCACTGTGAATGATGGCTTATTTGTGGCTTTTTTGACTTGCCTAAGGCATTTTCTGCTCGTGCTTGAGTGAGTCCTTTAATTTGCCTCCATGAAGATTGTGCTTATTGTGATGATATGATACTTTATCATTTATGATGCTGCACTTGGCTTCGCTCCAGCCTGATGACGGCTCGTGTCGCTCGTGTGCATCTCGCTGTCGAACAACGCGTGGCCCAACTGTAGCGTCGTGCTAGGTCAGGTTAAATCAACCGACTGGGCAGGATCTGCACAGCAAGACCTGTTGCCACGAGGACAGATGGTGGGCCCAATGCAGCCTGCTGTGGAGGACCTTTGATGGACTGATACGGGGAGATTGTCCACAAAGGTGGATCACCTCACTAATGAACTGGCCCAAATGAAGTCTGTCTTCTGGTGTTTTCAGGCAAATACTGGCTGCATGGCACTTCCTCCTGAGCAGGATGGAGTGTCGGCCAATGGTAACAATATTATTTCAGTGGCAACCTTGGGTACGCAGTTCCTCAATTACCTTCAATTACCTTCTGGAGTTAAGCTCCACGATCTATGGTTTCTCCCTCGGAGGAGCAAATATGGGAACTGCATGCCTGGCAGCCATGCAAGAAGCATCTAGGTTTGACTTGGGGCAAATGCCAGTTATGGAACCAGAGATTGCCAAAAACCTGCTCCCAGTCAGGGGTCCAGACAACGTACTGCTTTTGTGTGGCACTGGTTGGCTGGTGCCCTCCCAGGCATTCAAGAGGCAAGTTACCCCACAGGTAATGTTTAAGATCAGCAGTCAGTTATTTTACCCCAGGACAGGTTGGTAGCTAGGATGTCCACACCCGGACTTGTGGGCACTGTATACTCTGTCTCACAGGTACTGTCTTCAAGTCAGAAGCCAGCCCCTTGTCCCTAGCTGGGTGAGGAGGACGACTGTCATCCGCAAGCCTGTGACGGCACAGGCACTGAACCAGGAAATCTGCACCTCGGTTCCCATGGACCTCTGTTGGATCCAGGGGGCTTTTATTCAAAGCTGTTTTTTTTTCAAAGACCACGGGTCTTCTTTTAATTTTTGAAGGTCTTACCTTTTCACATGCTGACCTCACAGATGCTTATTTTCATGTCTCAATTGCTCTGCCTCACTGGCGCTTTCTTTGTTTTGCTTTCCAATGGAAGCATTTGCAGATTATGGTTCCTGTATGGACTTATGCTGTCTCCCAGGGTGTTCACCCTATGGGTCACAGTGACCCTCTCCCCATTTCAGGAGCAATGATGAGAGTGAATGTGGCTTCCTGGAGCAGCATCCTTCTACTGAGGTAGGCAGTGCACTGGCTTTTCTTTTAGATTTTGTTGACAGTCATCCAGTGCTTAAAACTCCACCCTGGTGGTCACTACGGATGAAATACGGCAAAATTTATGACTGTAACCACAGTTCTATCCATCCAGGATGACCACCAGAGTACTCAGTCCATTGGAATCCTTACGGCGCGTGAGAAGATTGAGGGATTGAGCGCCAGGTATCATGTGACTAGTGTCACATGGGTTACTGGCACATGACTTGAGCATGCACAAGAATGATCATTCAGTGCATGAAGCTCCGCCTCTGGCAGTCATCCGGGATTCATAGAACTGTAGAGTTCTAACTTTCGTTTCAGTGTTCCTTTGGGATGCTCCATGAATCAGACCGGTTGAGGATGGACTGTCCCAGCTGTAGAAAGAGCACCTGTTCCAAGTGCAGGTCACCTGTAAGGCACACACACATGCAGTTTGAGCTGAACTCCAAGTAGAATCTGACCTGGTCTGTCTGCTCTGCAGTGGTCTCCTCACCATCAGGGACTTTCCTGTACAGAGTTCAAGGTGTGGCAACAGCAGACCCAGCAGGACTGGGACAGCTCCATGTGGGCCTAAAAACCATCGGTAAAACACCCCTTCAAGTAATCGAGGTCCGAGTTGATACCAAGGTTTGAGCTCTACCCGGTTCTAGCGTCTGATTTGGGCTTGGTCCCGTCAGGGTGGCTCGATCTGGTTGGTTCAATCTGCATTTGGACTAAAAGGAAACATAAAGTTCATTGTCACAGTGCAGAGATTCCCCAGAAAATGTGACAAGCCCGGTGGCCGAGGCAGTCCGCCATGTTTTTGAATCAAAAGATGTGACGGTAACAGGAAATATTACTGGGTAATTATGCTTCTGGAATACATTGTTCACAATGCTAAAATCCACAGCTATTCAGTCTGAAAAACACAAACCACAAAAATACAATTAAAATAAATATCAACAAAAACAAGGAGATTTAATTTATAAGCACTAGCAGGGACCAAGCTTTTGTTTCCTGACTGTAGTCTTTAATAAGCCCAGAGAATATTTGATTTGGTTCCCAGGCTTAAAGGAACAAGTTTTTTCTGATCTCCATAGAGCAGCTCTACCTGACCAGACGTAGAGAAGACATTTGATGTGCAGATTGAAGCATTGTGGTGGTGGGAAAAAAGAGAACCCCCCCCCCAAAGCAAAACAACGTGCTGCGTGACTATGAGGCGAGTGCAACAGCTCCTCCACTGGCTGAGCCACCGGCCCACTGAGGAACACGGGCAGAAACAGCCATGCGCTGGGCAGCATGTTGAGATGTAAATGACACTCATTGTTCTTTGTTCACAAAGATACAATTCCCTCTGCACAGCACGCTCAACACACCTCTGGAAGCACAGATTACATTTGCAGTTGCACAAATGTAATCTATATAATTGCCAAAGGTGAAGCTTTTCTCCAAGAACACCTTCCAACCCTTCCAGTCTGAGTGAAAGGTCAGACGCGGTCCGTGCCGAGGTCGACCGACAGCCAATGTGCAGAGGCGCCTGTGGTTGGTCTGCTTTCACACTCTTGATGCATCAACTATAAAACTTTCAGGAATGATTCTGCTCTGCTGGTGAAATGCTGAACGCAGCAGGCATGCTGATGTTTCTAAAAAAATGCATTTTAAATAATTATAAATAATAATAATAATAACCTGCAATGCCCAGACTGTCACGCGGCCAAGTAAAACCTTGAGGCTCACCACAATAACAGCAGATTGTGACTGAAGGGACAATACGAGGAGAAAGTTATGCAGCCTGAAGTAGCTTAACGATAGATAGCATCTGCCTCGGTAAACTGGGATCTGGATCTGCAGGGTAGGAGCTAAAGGATCTTATTTAGGGTTTTGGCTACTCACATTTAGTGTGTACCTTTGTCTTTAATTTGTATTTCTTGTATTCTTTTGTATTTTGTTCACTGGGTGCCACTTTTCTGTCTGTAAGCTGCTGGTAACTTCAATTTCCTGAGGGAGTCTTCCCAAGGGATCAATAAAGTACGAGTCTAAGTCTATGAAAAAGGATCTGTCTGCTGTTCTACTGCTAGTACCTCTAGGAACCTGCAGTCTTAGGTTCCTACCAGAACCTCAGGGTTTCTGGTAGGAACTCTGAAACAGTCGTGTCTCTGAAGCTGGTAGCTAACCCTATTCTTCCTCCAGTAAAGTCTTGTTTGTCCTCAGAGTGTCCTCGTTGTCAGTTCGTCTTCAGCCTGTCTAAAGGAGGGTGTCTTCACTTCACCTGCTCTCAGTGTCGCCATCAGTTCTGTGGCGGCTGCAGTCAGCGCTTTGCTCTGGGCTCGGTGAGTCCATGTTCTAACTGTTCTACCGGAATCTACTGAGTTCTAGTCCCTTATGACGTCTCCCTCCTCAGACTTGCAGCTTCTCCACTCAGTGTGCGTCCAGAGGTCTCCATGCGCACCACCCAGGGACTGTCTATACCACCTGAGAGACTGGAGCGTGACCCGGCTGCACCGGCTGTTGCAGGTTAGCTGGACTCGGGTCTGGTTCTCAGCCAGACCCGCATGAACTCGCTGTGATGCTCTTCTCCCCTCAGCACTATAGAGTGTCTCCTTCCTGGTTGGAACCGTCCAATGGCAGCTTGGCTCAGTGCAGTCAGACAGGTGAGGTCATTTCCTGTCCCGGGGGAACCCAGCACATCGCGGTCTGTCTGACAGGTGCGTTTGTGTGGCAGTGGCGTGTTTCGTGCCAGAACTGCGAGATGATAGTGGTATGACGAAGGAAGAGCCTTGCGGACGGCCGGCTCCGTACGGAGGATACTGCCAGTAAGGTCCAGTCGGAGGCCATGCGTCCTCTGCTTGCGTACCTGTTGAGGTGAGCTGCTGTCTGTTCCGGCAGGGCTCACTACAAGGAGTGTCTGGTGGAGCAGATCAACCAGTGTAGCGCCGACCCGGCCGTCCTCTTCAGTCCTGCAGAAATGATCGCAGAGCTGCGGCGATGGAACATTGTCGTTCCAAGCAGAAAGCCTGAAGAGCCAGAGCCGCTGTACGCCCATCGCCTCCGCCTGGTCAGTGACATCATCATGACTGGCGTTTACCTGGCGCCTAGGCAGCCTGCCGGGCCGGTAAACGTTTAGCTGCTGAACCGACCACAGGAAGCACATCTGGATTGTGACCTCCGGTCGGTCCAGGTTAGACAGAGACTGTTTCAGCCAATCACAACCCTCGGTTCTGTCTCTCTACAGGTGCTGACTAATTGCCTTCCTCTCATGAAGCAGCGATGCATTTCATCAGAGACATCAGCAGCTGCTCCGCCCACTGCTCCGCCCACAGTCAACCCAACCAATCAGATGATGTCTGATAACTTCAAACAAGTCAAAGGGAACCAATGAGAGAAGTATTCCAGTTGCAACTACCTGAGCTAATTGACGTTGCCATGGTTGATAACAAGGTTAACGAGTTTCCATCCTCTCATCAGCCTTTGGTTTATTTAACTTATTCTTTCTCTTGGAAAAAAGAAAAATTTAACTGAAATTGTTTTAAACAAGAACTGAGAACAAGAAACTTTGTTCTGCTCCTCACGGCTCAAAATGTAAACAGTTCTTTTAAAAAGGTGAAGCTTAACGAGCGTTAGTGATTAACAAGGTGAAGCTTAACAAGCGTTAGTGATTAACGAGGTGAAGCTTAACGAGCGTTAGTGATTAACGAGGTGAAGCTTAACGAGCATTAGTGATTAACGAGGTGAAGCTTAACGAGCGTTAGTGATTAACGAGGTGAAGCTTAACGAGCGTTAGTGATTAACAAGGTGAAGCTTAACGAGCGTTAGTGATTAACGAGGTGAAGCTTAACGAGCATTAGTGATTAACGAGGTGAAGCTTAACAAGCGTTAGTGATTAACAAGGTGAAGCTTAACGAGCGTTAGTGATTAACGAGGTGAAGCTTAACAAGCGTTAGTGATTAACAAGGTGAAGCTTAAAGAGCGTTAGTGATTAACGAGGTGAAGCTTAACAAGCGTTAGTGATTAACGAGGTGAAGCTTAACGAGCGTTAGTGATTAACGAGGTGAAGCTTAACGAGCATTAGTGATTAACGAGGTGAAGCTTAACGAGCGTTAGTGATTAACGAGGTGAAGCTTAACGAGCGTTAGTGATTAACGAGGGGAAGCTTAACAAGCGTTAGTGATTAACAAGGTGAAGCTTAACGAGCATTAGTGATTAACAAGGTGAAGCTTAACGAGCATTAGTGATTAACAAGGTGAAGCTTAACGAGCATTAGTGATTAACGAGGGGAAGCTTAACGAGCGTTAGTGATTAACGAGGGGAAGCTTAACAAGCGTTAGTGATTAACAAGGTGAAGCTTAACGAGCATTAGTGATTAACGAGGGGAAGCTTAACGAGCGTTAGTGATTAACGAGGGGAAGCTTAACGAGCGTTAGTGATTAACGAGGGGAAGCTTAACGAGCGTTAGTGATTAACAAGGTGAAGCTTAACGAGCGTTAGTGATTAACGAGGTGAAGCTTAACGAGCGTTAGTGATTAACGAGGGGAAGCTTAACGAGCGTTAGTGATTAACAAGGTGAAGCTTAACGAGCGTTAGTGATTAACGAGGTGAAGCTTAACGAGCGTTAGTGATTAACGAGGTGAAGCTTAACGAGCGTTAGTGATTAACAAGGTGAAGCTTAACGAGCGTTAGTGATTAACAAGGTGAAGCTTAACGAGCGTTAGTGATTAACGAGGTGAAGCTTAACGAGCGTTAGTGATTAACGAGGTGAAGCTTAACGAGCGTTAGTGATTAACGAGGTGAAGCTTAACGAGCGTTAGTGATTAACAAGGTGAAGCTTAACGAGCGTTAGTGATTAACGAGGTGAAGCTTAACGAGCATTAGTGATTAACGAGGTGAAGCTTAACAAGCGTTAGTGATTAACAAGGTGAAGCTTAACGAGCGTTAGTGATTAACGAGGTGAAGCTTAACGAGCATTAGTGATTAAACGAGGTGAAGCTTAACGAGCGTTAGTGATTAACGAGGGAAGCTTAACGAGCGTTAGTGATTAACGAGGTGAAGCTTAACGAGCGTTAGTGATTAACGAGGTGAAGCTTAACGAGCGTTAGTGATTAACGAGGTGAAGCTTAACGAGCGTTAGTGATTAACAAGGTGAAGCTTAACGAGCGTTAGTGATTAACAAGGTGAAGCTTAACGAGTTAGTGATTAACAAGGTGAAGCTTAACGAGCGTTAGTGATTAACGAGGTGAAGCTTAACGAGCGTTAGTGATTAACGAGGGTGAAGCTTAACGAGCGTTAGTGATTAACGAGGTGAAGCTTAACGAGTGTTAGTGATTAACGAGGTGAAGCTTAACGAGCGTTAGTGATTAACGAGGTGAAGCTTAACGAGCGTTAGTGATTAACGAGGGGAAGCTTAACAAGCGTTAGTGATTAACAAGGTGAAGCTTAACGAGCGTTAGTGATTAACGAGGTGAAGCTTAACGAGCGTTAGTGATTAACGAGGTGAAGCTTAACGGCGTTAGTGATTAACGAGGTGAAGCTTAACGAGTGTTAGTGATTAACGAGGTGAAGCTTAACGAGCGTTAGTGATTAACGAGGTGAAGCTTAACGAGCGTTAGTGATTAACGAGGTCAGGGTTCTGGTTCTAGCTGCTCGGTTTTCTTCACTTTAATAAAATTTGTCATCTTCTCTCTCTGTAGTTTCTGTCTCTATGGCAACCTGGTGTGTTTTCAAACCAATAGAACCTGTCTGATATTGATCCCGACTGCTCTTCATCAGAACGTTCTGGGTCTGGTGGGGTCCACTCTGTAAGGGAAACGATGGAGACATTAGTGATGAAGATGCTTAATGTGTCAGAAGGTGTAATGAGACCAGGCTGGAAGAACCGGATCAGAACCGCTCGGCAGGGGTTGAAGCTGCAGTGTGTAACTTTTACTCATCAGTTTAAACCACCACCATGGTCTGATAATGTTATCTCCTGCTGAAGAAACATCCAATCAGAGCCAGGAGGAGGGGCTTAGTGCTGACAATCAACTTCATGCATTTGTTGCTCAATGTGCTCCTGACCCAGCCTTCCATGATGTCATAGTGACTGACCCAGTATGGAAATTATGGGTCTGTACTGGGTCCATCTGATCTGATTTTGTGAAACTAAACCGGGTCAGAACCAGAACTTCTCTAGAACAGCTTTAAATGTGAAGAAGGTTTTGATTTGCGCAGAAATAAAACTCCAGGATTCAGGTTAAGTTCTTAGCTTTTATTAAAATAAGTTTAGCAGTAAAAACAAATGTGCTGGTCAAAATTCTGTCCAATCGCAGAGGTTGGTCCTCTGTGCTCTGATTGGCTCAGCTGGTCCTGGCAGCAGCTTCAGGTGTGACAGGCTGCAACGTCCTCCAGGGGTCCTGCAGCATGGAGGGACTGAAATATCTCTCCACCGGAACGTCTGTGGGCTGGAAGGCAACAAGCCGAGTCACAATCTGGATTAAAGGAACTGCTTCACACTGGAGCAAAGCGGATCAGAACCGCTCAGGTAACCTGCTGACCTGGTTCCACTTTTAGCATTGGCTGATACCAGCAGGTTTTAAGTAGAATGAACAACGTTGAATCTAAAAAGAACCAGCTGAAGTGGAACCTTGGTTCTGTTCAATCAGCTGGTCCAAACAATCAGAACCACAATGGAACCACAGAAACTGGAGAATTTTTACAATTTTCTACAGAACTTTGATAGTTCTGATCATCACCGAGCCGAAGGTTTCACTGGTGGTTCTGACAGCAGCAGAACAGGCGTTCTATTTATCTGTGCTACCCGTCAGTCCATCCTACCTTATGCATCAACACACAATCTGCTGAGTCAGCAGTCACAATCTGCTGAGTCAGCAGTCACAATCTGCTGACTCAGCAGATTTCTTCTCAATCCGTCCTGCCTGTGGAAGTTTAGTTTCAGGTGTTTTATTTCATCACAGATGACAGTAATCTTTATTTCATTGATTTTCTCTCATGAAGCAGCTGGATTACTAGCAGCTTGTCAATGGAATGATGGTTTAGTTTGCTCTGCACTGTCCTTACTGTAAACAAGTTATTATTTGGTGGTTAATCAGGACTAAATATGTTTTGGTTTTTTGTCCCTATACGTTAAAATATGTTAGTTTAATTCCACTCTTGTCGACTAAACTTGCTAAATAGATGTTAGCGATACGATGTGAAGCTGTAATATCAGTGCATATGAATCATATCCCATCATTTCAGTGACACGTTGTGGCTGATGCTGATAACATATAAAGTATTAATGCACAAAAACCGTTCCAGTGATCTGGATTAGTGTTTAATTCCAATAAAAGCTGTTTCCATCTGATCCGGTTTTTTCTAACAAACGCCTCTGTGTCTCAGATATTAACAGCTAGATATTGTAGGAAAGGATCAGCTGCATCTGCAGCTTTTCATTTCAAACTTTGGTAGGATATTCAGATGAAGGAAGTGATCTGCTTCTGGTTTCATCATCACATCAATTGTTCAATGCTAAGCTAACCAGAACTGCTAAGCTTCCAGTCACTAAATGATCCAATTATTGAACATTAACAAGCCGCTGCAGTTTGTTTGTAAACATGGCGGTAGCAGCTTTAGACGGGTAGCACGGACAGACAGAGCCAGCTGTCGATCCGTGCTGCGGTAGGGAATCTGACGGGGTAGCTCAGATCGTCAGGACACCTGAACCAAACAAACAAGCCCCGCCCACTCCCTTTTGTTTAGAAACATCAGAACCACCTGCAGGTTCGGAGCTCCTGAAGGACTGAAGGACTGGGGCCGCCGGAACCCGAACCCCCTCTCGCCGCTGAAATGCGCCGGTGACCCGTCCATAGTTCCTCTGCTGAACCGGGGAGAGAAGCCGGGAGAGAACCGGGGAGAGAAGCCGGGAGAGAAGCCTGCCCCTGGGCGCTGAGGAGAACCTCCGAAAGGAGACCGAACCCCGGGGAAAGTCCAGTCTGGAGCCGGCCGAGGGGCCCTGGGGCTCCGGTGAAATCCATCCGGAGCTCGGCGCATCCGAGCTGCAGGAACCTGACAAAAACCGAATAGAATGTGGACCGGAACCGGAAACACACGGTTCCATTAAAGCTTACAGCCTGCAGCGCCAACTAGCGGGGGAGCATTAGCCTGCAGGGGGCCGCCTTGTCACATGGTGCGTCTCCACGTCTCTCCATTCATAGGGCCGTTAAACAGGCTGCAATATTTCCCCGGTTCTCTTCATCTTGGCTGTTGAAGTGATGAGTATTTTCATAAAAACTCCAACATACCGAAATTGAAAGTTTTGGATGACCAAATCATAATTAGTCAACTAGCTGATGACACCACAATGTTTTTGAAGAATCCAGACCAAACCCCTAAAGTACTCCAGTTAATTAATATTTTCTCCAAAGCATCAGGATTAACCTCAAATCTGCAGAAGTGTGAACTGATGGCAATTCATGACTCTGATCTGATGGAAGCTTATAATATTCCCATTAAATCTTCAGTTAAATATCTTGGTATTTTAATAACTAAAGATGTTAAACTCAATGAAACCGTTAACATAGAGAATAAAACACAGTTAAATCGATGTCTGCAGAGAGATCTGACCCTGTTGGGAGAACCTATTTAACCAAAGTGGAGTCGCTGAGCCGGTGCATTTACCCAGATTATTCTATGGCCATACCTAACAAATACATTAAAGCTATAAATCAGCTGAACTTTAGTTTCAGCTGGAAAAATCGAGTCCACTAGTTAAAGAAAGCAAATATGGTTAAAGACTTTAAAGATGGTGGTTTACAAGCCATAGACTTTAAATGTTTAAACGCCATCTTAAAGGTAAATTGGTTAAAATCTTTTTAATGAATGGAGTCAGTGTCTGGTTTTGTCTCCCCAAAGGTTTGTTTAAAAAATTGGATGCATGGATTTTGTTCTTAGATGTGACTTTGATGTCAACAGACTTCCTGTTAAGTTATCGGCTTTTCATAAGCAGGTTTAAACTTCTGAACATGAACAGCTTTACTCCTCAGCAAACCCCCAACTGGAACAATAGACAGAAATAAATCTCTGTATTTGGATCACTGGATGGAAAAAGGTATTTGGTCCATAAGACATTTTCTTAATGACAGTGGAGATTGGTTGTCTTATGATGAATTTTGCTTATTGTATAACTTGGTTTGCTCATGCACTCAGTTTCATATGGTATTAAACTCCTTCCCCTCTGCAGTCAGATATAAACATTAATCAGCTGACCTTCAGTTTCCAGCTCTTCAACTGTTTGGATTTAATGACAAAAGTCATTCTAACAAACGGATGCGTCAGCATCTTACTAATATTATATTTCCTGTCCAACCAAATAAAAACTCCATTTTAAATTTGTTCTCTGATTCAGAGGTTAATAAGTGGAGAATTGATTACCTTAAATATCCTCTGAGCCCTAAAGCTGAAGAAGTTCATTTTAAAATTCTCAATAACATTTTTCCATCCAGGAAACTTTTAAGACAAAGATTAACTTCGACATGAACATTTGTACCTTTTGTGATACTGACATTGAAACAACAGATCATCTTTTTCTATTGTGTGCAAACTGCATCATTTTGGAGAAACTTTCAGGACTGGATCTCAACTAAACTTTCCCCTCCATCATCCATTAAAACAGAGGATGTAATATTTGGACCACAAAGACAAAACCCGGCCTGGTTCTGAAACCACCTGCTGATCCTCGCCAAATTCTTCATCACTCTGTAAATAGAAAACCAAACTGTTCAGCTTTTAAAAACCTTCTGATGGAAAAACGCTTCAGAACCTTAAAACTGATGGAAAACAAGCAGGGAATGAAACTTTGAGGCTCATAACGACCTGACTTTATTTGACAACTAAAGCCCTTTTGTCTTTTTCTGTCTTTTTCAGCTTTTTGTTCTATAATCCCTGTTTGATGTCTGACTGGTTCTATTTAACTTCTTTATTTGTTATTATCTTTTAGTTATATGTGCCTTAAGCCTGTAAAAGTTGACTTGTCCATGTATGTATATACCACGTGATTTCATATAATTAAGTAATTAATAAAAAATAAAAAAAGACTGCAGCCACCATGTTGGAGAGGGAAAAGGTGCAGGCTAATGCTGGGATCACGCGCTCCAGCGCAGGAACTAAAATATTTTGACTCTTGGCCTTGATTATTTTACACTTACAGCAGAATAATCAGAACCCAATTTGTGTCACCTTAACCCTGACCCTGACCCTGACCCAAGGTCTCCTTCTGCCTCACAGGTGTAAACCTGGCGCGAGCGCCGCGTGTTGAAAGGCGCCTCGGAAAAACAGGAACAACGTGTTTACAACGGATTCAACAGTTGAAAGCAGTGACAGAGGACAGAGGACACAGAGGACAGAGGACACAGATAAGGGAAGTGTGGAAGCCCCTACGCTATCAAATTAATACAGGAATAACAGAGTTGGCCAGTCTGAGGTAAAAACATCAAACAGCTTCCAGGCACAGCTGACTCTGTGGGCGGGTAATGCCCCTAATGCCCCATGCTGCTGGGCCTGTTAAAGGGATTGTGTGCATTTAATCAGTTGTCTAAAGTCAGTCTAAAAGGTCTACCAGTATCCTCCATGTTTCTGTTCTGTCCCAGGTTTAAACAGAACAATGGCTCAGCAGAACATCTCCTGAACTTTGACCTGCCAGGTTTGAATCAGCTGTGATGAAACAGCTTGTCTAAACCTGGCAGCTCTGGACTCCAGTGGTTTATGCAGATGTCCATGACCTTTATATATGTTACCTGCCTGAAAGTATGTTTGTGTGTTGTATGTATAAAAATATGTTTTTCAGGTCAACAATTGGGTTGCGGCTGTCGAGCATAAGAAACAGTATTTCCCAGGGATACCGGGTTTGGGTTTGGGTTCGGGTTTGGGTTTGGGTTCGGGTTCGGGTTCGGGTTTGGGTTCGGGTTCGGGTGAACCCTGCAGTGGAAAACCTTGTGGTGCTAAATACGGCTTGATTTCTAAAAATAACCTTAAAATGCCACATGGTGTCAACATTGAATCTAGATATTTATGAATGATTCCAATGTCAATACAATGTAAAATTTATATGATTAAAAATCATTCAAAGGCAGAAAGGTCTTTTTTTGTATGTCAACTTCATCTTGGTGGTTCCCTAATTCTGCCTTCTGTAAACAGTAAAACCATATTTATCACAGTTGGTTTTCACATCTTTAGAAGTTGGATTTAATATGAGCTGCATGTCCAAAGTCAACCAGAAGATCTCAGCACCACTGAGCCGCTTGGCCGTATCTCTGGTTTGTTATTCTGAGCTCGGCGGCGTCCCCTGCTGGACGGGTTTACAAATTACCCACGAGACAAAACATTTGGCGCAAACGTCAGCCTGGTGTGGCTTGTAAAGCAGCGTTAGTGACGAGTGTTTCACGTGGTTGATGTTCTTGACTTTTCTGTGTTAAGGAAAATAATTTTATAAGAATAGAAAAGTTTCTGTATGCTGATGTTTAAACGTGTTTGAATTAGTTTTGCTCCAAATGTATTGGACTGAATGAAGCAAAAATATGAGAGCAGGACTTTTATATTTTGACACTTGCAGAACAGAATCTATGATCCAAACTGAAGAACCTGTGAACTGTAAGCAAAGTTTAGTGTCTGAAAAAAATGACAATTACAAAACTCCTGGAAGATTTTTCTCTGCAGTGTCAGTTTCACAGGTAGAAGCCACAAATATACCTTCATCGAACCTTTCAGCTTCCATGAAACAGGCAGTTATCTCTTTTCTCCCAACATAAACGAGTCAATCTATGGAAGGAGCGTCCTGCAGATCCAGAGCCTGGCGGCTCCTGGCAGTCAGCACCAGCGTGATTCATCTGCCACCGAGGCGTGGGAGTCCCAACTACCAGAGTCGCAACTGAAGCCAAAGTAAGTGAGAAATTAAGATGTTGGTGTGAACGCCGGCTCAGAGCTGAAGAACGAGTGGGTCCAGTCTCCGATGGACAGCATATCCTCAGAAACCAGATGATGTGTTCAGGAAGCAAAGAGTTCCACCTTAAACACCTTCTGCAAAGAGTTCCACCTTAAACACCTTCTGCAAAGAGTTCCACCTTAAACACCTTCTGCAAAGAGTTCCACCTTAAACACCTTCTGCAAAGAGTTCCACCTTAAACACCTTCTGCAAAGAGTTCCACCTTAAACACCTACTGCAAAGGGTTCCACCTTAAACACCTACTGCAAAGGGTTCCACCTTAAACACCTACTGCAAAGGGTTCCACCTTAAACACCTACTGCAAAGAGTTCCACCTTAAACACCTTCTGCAAAGAGTTCCACCTTAAACACCTACTGCAAAGAGTTCCACCTTAAACACCTTCTGCAAATGGTTCCACCTTAAACACCTACTGCAAAGAGTTCCACCTTAAACACCTTCTGCAAAGAGTTCCACCTTAAACACCTTCTGCAAAGAGTTCCACCTTAAACACCTTCTGCAAAGAGTTCCACCTTAAACACCTTCTGCAAAGAGTTCCACCTTAAACACCTACTGCAAAGGGTTCCACCTTAAACACCTACTGCAAAGGGTTCCACCTTAAACACCTACTGCAAAGGGTTCCACCTTAAACACCTACTGCAAAGAGTTCCACCTTAAAACCTTCTGCAAAGAGTTCCACCTTAAACACCTACTGCAAAGAGTTCCACCTTAAACACCTTCTGCAAAGAGTTCCACCTTAAACACCTACTGCAAAGAGTTCCACCTTAAACACCTTCTGCAAAGAGTTCCACCTTAAACACCTTCTGCAAAGAGTTCCACCTTAAACACCTTCTGCAAAGAGTTCCACCTTAAACACCTTCTGCAAAGAGTTCCACCTTAAACACCTTCTGCAAAGAGTTCCACCTTAAACACCTTCTGCAAAGAGTTCCACCTTAAACACCTTCTGCAAAGAGTTCCACCTTAAACACCTACTGCAAAGGGTTCCACCTTAAACACCTACTGCAAAGAGTTCCACCTTAAACACCTTCTGCAAAGAGTTCCACCTTAAACACCTTCTGCAAAGAGTTCCACCTTAAACACCTTCTGCAAAGAGTTCCACCTTAAACACCTTC